TTCAGACAGGCGTCGTGGTGGGGGCCGGCTGTGGTAGATTTGGGGGTGAAGGCGCCTGCGGGCGATTTCTAGGGGGCGTGGTTGGCCGCGAGCACGTGGGTCCGCATTTGTGTATGGTTGGCGCCTATATCTGCAATGGGCGGGACGGGTGTATTGGAGCCTGCTGCACATTGTGGTGAGGAGCAAGCCTGCAACGGATAGCACATGCAACAACATGATTGTGTCCATGCCAAAAGGTCGAGCGTCTGCGACAACAGGGCCAGTGGTGGCAGCAGCGGTGTTAGCGGCACCAGCAATATTAAGTTGATTGATGGAGCGCACGATCAGAGGAGCAGCAGAATTGGCAGCAGCAGCAGCGGCCGCAGCTGCAGCGGCGGTGATGGTGCCGGTGGCGCCGACAGGCCCGGCGCGGCGCCCTGCCAGCAACTGCGGCCATGAATCATTATAATGCGCATTTTTCTTACTGCATATACGCGTTTCCAGAGCAGTCGCCGCAGGAGCCACCATGAAATTCAAACGGGGCTGGTGGCGCGCAGGCTGCAGGGTCTCCGCTGCAGCGTCCTGGCATTGTATCCAGATGCTGTTATCAAGTCCTTTGACATCCTCAGGTTTCACTAGGAGTGCCTGCATGAGCACGACGAGAAGCACGAGTAACAATTTGATCCCGGATTTGGTGGGTCCCTGGACAGGGGCGGCTCCGCGCCCGCTGTCAAACGATCCCCAACGACCTCTCTGAGGGACGCGGGGGGCCCGCAGCGGCCCCCTGTATAGCAGCCCCTCAGATCGAATCGTGGGCGCGTCATGGCATTTTGACGATGCCAGTGTACGCGGCTGAAAAAAACGCTTGCAGCTGCGCGGTGGTGGCGAGCGGGCAAGCAGGGTCAAATTGTTCCAGTGCAGCAGATGTCGTGGACAAGACATGCTTGTCCTGACTATGAGCGCACATTACAAGCTGCGCCTTACTCCCTGTGGACCAATGGGGTGCACGCGGCTCGGGCAGCGGGTTGCGGGTGTGAACGGCCCCGCTGCTTTGTGGCTCTGGCCTTCACTCCAGCCCTTGCACCACAACTCTACCTTGCATTCCTCCTAAGGGTTGTTGGAGTTAAACTTACAAACAATGGTACCGTATACATGGAGTCCAATCAATGCAACGTCGTGTGACCAATACACACGTGCAATGGTGGGAGTGAGCGTCCTGGCCAGGGCAGTGATTGCCACAACCTTGCATTCAAGAACATACCGTGGTTCTAACGTGTGCGCCACCAAGCCTCGTTGCCAGCACCATCACCCTCGATCATACTGCCCAGCGCAGCCGCATCTCTGTACACAAACCGCTGTGGTGCTTGGGGTAGGCTGAGGACTGGGCCTCCTTTCCAATCAATCATGAGTCCCCGCACTCTGTGTCCTCCTGAGCCTTACTGCGCCGTGCTACCACACTGGTCAGCCTGGCCCGGACAGGAAGTGCGGTGATGCTGAACTCTGTTGACACCCTGCAATCTCACCCTCACTATCCAGGGTGCGTTCTGGTGGAAACACAGCCCGTACTTGCACCTCTCGTGAGCACCTGCTCCTATTGCTGTATGAACTGCGCTGACTTGTTAATGGTATGGCGATCCTCGAGCCCCATACTTCCGGAAGCTTCACCCGACCCGCCAGCCGCCACCCCCCCTGACACACACACACACACACACACACACACACGCGCGCGCGCACGCGCACGCACACACACACACACGCACGCGCACACACACACACACACACACACACACCCACTCACACACACACACACATTCTCTGTCTCACATGCGCACGCACAGGCTCACACATGCGTACACACAGACACACACAATTGCTATGTCTCTCACACATACATACATGCTGTGCGGTGTGAATGCAGGGGTGCTGGAGGGTGCAGGTGAAATGTTGAAAAGTCAAGTGGTAAGAACGTACGTGCGGCGCCCCCATGCCAGCTGGCGTGCTCCTTTGAAATGACCATTGAATTTGTACTCAACTGTGTCAAGATGATGCCTGGCCACACGCAGTTGTGCCTTGGCCAGCAGCGGATCTATCACCACCAATCCCATCTAGACGCAATATTTGCGTCAAGCATTCGTTGTGGAGCTAGAGGCCAGTTGGATGCGCTGCACATCCTCCCAAGTGGAAGCAAACATCAAATCAGACTGATGAGCACAACTTTGTCTGCCAGCAGGCACGCCTTGACCGTGCAAGTGTGGAGATGGATTGGCTGCTGATAGAGACCCAGTCTGATCACGGAAAGCGAGCCGCATTAGCCGCATGTGAAGCTGAATCGCGCTTGCGCTGCGCAGCGCGCAGTTGCACGCCCATGTGATACTGCACACATTATTGTGTGCAAGAGGGCGTTGGCGTTTGGGTGAAGTGGTTGAGGATAAGCAGGAAAAGACGCCTCCAAACCCCCAGAATACATGCGCCCTTGCGAGGCGACCGGCAGCAACTGCATTTGTGGGCACCATGTTTGGGTATGCGTTCAAAAACTGCCCCAGCACTGCGCGGGTGCCAGGGCAGCGGAGGGGGGGGGGACGGCGGGCTGGTGAAGCGCAGGCACCCAGTTCCACGGGTAGACACTAACACTGACAAGCAACAATAATCCTGCGCATCAGACAAGAAAATCCCCTGAACACATGTGTGCGCGCATGCCCACCCACCTACCCGGCTTAGCAGGTAGTGTGACCGGTGCAGGTGAGCCACAGCCCTCACCTTTGGCGGCAGCAAACTTCCCGCCATTGTTTAGAAAGTTGGCCAGCTGTTACTGCACACGCCGTTGCTGCTGTCGGCCCGGTGCGCAAGGCTGGCGCTGCACATATTGACCACAGCGGCTGGGCTGGAGACAAGCTCAACGGCTGTGCGGGCTTCACTCCCTGTACCGGCAGTTAAGCCGCTGCAGGTGCCGTGTCCATCCCTCCAAATGCCAGAGCCCGCTGGGGCGGCGGAGGCAGCAGCGCCGCTGCCGCTGCAGCGGCAGCCTGGCTCGTGACTGCCGCATCACAACTGGCTAGTGTAGCCCTGCCTGCTGCTGCTGCAGGGGCGTTGCGCGCTGACGCCTCTCCTGTGGGTGCCGCCGCTGCCATCACAAACGCTGCTGCTGATACTGCCATCGATGCCGCCATGACGTCTGCCCTGACGACCGACCTGTTGCGCCTGGCGATCCCGGGGCAGCTACTTCTGCTGTCACCTGCCCCAACCGCAGCGCTTTATTTGTAGCAAAATCCAACACTCGCTTTGAATGCGGGCAGCTCTTCCAGCAGCCCGCGCATGTTGCTGGCTCCCACTGCGCGCATCATTGACTGCTGCTGACTGATTGGCGCAGCTGACACAGCTGTTGCAGAGCTGGACGGCGAGGGCATTGTGGACGCCTAGCCATGTCCTGAGCTGCGCACAGAGGCCGCCGCACGTGCACGACTGGTCGTGCGCAGGGCGTTACTGGGGAGCCGCCTCCAGCTGCTTCCAGCAGTGGCAGCACAACATGCACCAAGCGTCTCCCTCCAAGAGGGCAGCTCGTTTGCATTTGCATGCCAAGCTGCAAGACGCTCCACTGCAAATTTCACAATTGATATCTGCGCGTCGAGGTGCTGCTGCTCCTGGCCTTGCTGCTTGGTTTCATGTCGCTTTTGAGGCCAGCTCTGGTGCAGCGTGCTCACACCAGCCTGCACGCTCGCCAGCCGCGACCCCAGCGCTTGACTGGTGCGATCCACGAGCGCAGCGTCCACTACTCCGCCGCTCTGGGCTCCTGCGTCTGCCGTCATCACTGCTATTCTGGTTGCCACGAGCAGCTCCGGACATAACAACACTGGGTCCTGCATGCCCTGCGCCTGATGGGCCCACTTGCTGCTGCTGCTGCTGCTGCTGCGGCTGCCGCTGCTGCTGTGGTTGCTGCTGTTGCAGCTGCTCTTGCACTCTGGCGCAGTTGGCGCAGCGGGTCTGCATGCAGCAGCTGCAGCCGCTGCTGGCGCAGCAGCAGCAATACCTGCCGCAAAACCTGCTGCTGCTGCACCACCTGCTGCTGCTGCACCACCCGGTGCAGCTGCACCATCTGCTGCAGCTGCTGCAGCGGCCAGTGCTGTTGGGTATGCAGGTGCGGCTGTTGCTGACCCTGCTGCGGCTGCTGCTGCTGCCGCGACTCCTGCGCCTGTGCGTGCGGCATCAGCTGTAGTGCTTGCAGTACTGCGAGCGGGAGCGGGTGTGCAGCGAGCTATGGGCCATTCAGCAACGGCGCGGCTAGCAGCGGCGAGCTGTCAGGCACAACAGCTGCCAGCCAGCACCCTGGTGCCTGCACCCCAGCCAGCTGTGCACCGCTTGACGTGACGCTTAGCGATCCCAAGCGTGAGACACCACCGACGTGCGACGCTGTGGGCGCGGAACCGTTGGCGCTGGCGGCATGTACGCGCGACGCCAGTGGCGCTGAGCCCGCAGTGGAATGTCAGCGAAGCTGGCGGGAGCAGGCACCACACCTGCCGGTGAAGAAGTCTGCTGCTGAGCACTCCGATCTTCCACGGTTGAGGCGTGCTGCTGGCCGAGCATGTCATGCTGCACACTGTACTGGCGCTCGTCGTCGCTCGCGGCGCAGGCGGCCAGCGGCGCGCACAGTGCTGCAGCCGTGTAACATAAGCAGCGTGATGTTAGAAAAGGATTCCGGTGCTGTAGCAACGACCGCAGCATCCTGACAGTGCGCTGGTCGGTAGATCATCATTGGGAGGTTGTTAGGGTGATTGACGATCACGATGCGCAGATGCATATGGTCATAGCTTGTAGAGATGATGCTGAGCAACAGGCAGGGACATACGGTAACCGCAGCAACAGCAGCATGCACCGGCCGGAAACAGCATGCAGCAGCTGCCACAAGATGAGTTGCTTGCAGACGACTGCAGCGGCCTTTTGGGGGTCAGAATATGGAATGATATATCTTTGATAACATATTTCTGGCCCAAAACAGCCCGTTTCGGCGATTTACAATTCTGTGTCTTTGTGTGTCTTGGAGACACGTCCCCTGTCCAAGTGGTGTGTTTTGCAAGACACGCCCTCTGTTTCACCAGTGCCTGGCCCGCCCATAAGCTCTGCTGCTGCGCCCAGCAGCACCTGGCTCCTCCATGCGACGCACGACACCGAGTGACCGCTGGGCCGTCTTCCCTGGCGGTCCTGCTGCCTCAAGTATCTAATGCGCATCTCTGAGGGTGGGTTTGGGTAGTACGCATGGCTGTAGAGGCGCACACGCGTGTTGTGAATCTTGGAGGCGGCGGCGGCCCATCTTGGACGGCCACCCGCCCGGCTGTTGTGCGACAGACTTGCGCATACTGGGAGCTGATCCACGGCACTGTGGAGGTTGACAACCAAAACACATGCACACACACATGCAAACACGCTACCCTTTTGAGCCGGACGCCGTCATCCTGGAGGGCGCCGAGAGGGGCGTCTGCCCGGCGCAGCAGCAGGGTGACAGTGCGTTCTTGATGAAAGCAACGTGGGGGTACCACTGTGCGCCCCCCCCCCCCCGCACCAAACAGGAGCCCCTGCATGCTCAGGGACATGCGGGCGCTGGTGGCCGCGCTGCTGGATCCCGCACCTGCTGCCCGCCCCGCCGTGCCGGCGCAGTCAAGGGGGCGCCCCTGTGCGTGTGCAGAGGGCCGAGCGCGCGGTGTGGGGGGCGCTGCTGTTCACGTTGCTGGCGCCTGAAGGGATGCCGGAGGCTAGGAACAGTACACAGGTGAGAGTGAGATCATGCGGACTGCGAGATGATTGGGGCTTGGGCTCTAGGGGGACGCCGTTGACGAGGATCTTGGTGGCTTATGGGGCTTGGAGTGGCTGCACGGTGGTGCAGCCCGTCGAGGCTGGGGCGCAGTTGTGGTCAGCCCAAAGAGCGCGCATGTGTGGACGCACACACGTGGTCACCCACACACAAAACAACCACGCCAGAGTGCCATCACTGAGGTGAGCCGGCTCAAAGCTTTGCGCGCTTCCAACAAAGGCTTGCCACCAACGAAAGAGCCTTGCTCATTTCTGCCCTGCTCATTTTTCCAACTTCCAGACAAAATAGGAGGAGGTGGCGGCGGTGGTGGAGCAGGGCCGCATCGCCGCTCTGGTGGCTGCCGCCCAGCGCCTGCAGGAGGAGGTGCAGCGGCAAGGGGGGGAGGCGCGGGCGCAGCAATTGCAACCGGGCGCCGCACACGCCCATGAGCGGGGCGCTGCGTTGCGGCCGCGGCGGCCGAGGCCCAGCGGCCGCGCACGGCGGACGCAGCGCAATGCACTGAGAAGCGGCGGCTGCGAGCGGAGGTCAGCCGGCTGGCGGCGGCGGCGCGGGGCCTGGAGCGGCGCAAACAGGACGGGAGGGGGGGGGCCAAGGAGGGGCGG